CAGGGGAACAGAAGATACACTCCTCTTCAGCAACCAACGGCACAAAAAATAATCGCCGATAAAGTTTCTGAAGGTCCAATCACCGTATTCATCATCGGATCTCATACGAATTTTGCGCTCTTCATGATGTCAAATCCTCACTTGAAACACAATATCCAACACATCTATGTCATGGGAGGTGGTGTACGGTCGCAAAACCCCACTGGCTGTTGTCCGGCGAACTCCACGGCGGCGGAATGTACACCTAGACAGTGTGGAAACCGTGGAAACTTGTTCACGGATTACACAAGTAATCCTTACGCTGAATTCAACATCTTCACTGATCCTTTCGCTGCTTATCAGGTTCATTATTGTCCTTTTTTAGTTATGTTTTGTGTTCATGATACATGTGCTTATACAGTATATCGGTTTTGTGTCTGTTACAGGTGTTTCATTCAGGTGTTCCAGTGACTCTGGTTCCTATAGATGCAACCAACACAATACCTATCAACAAGAACTTCTTTGAGACATTCGAAAAGAACCAGAGAACATATGAAGCTCAATACGTTTTCTTATCTCTGAAAATAGCCAGAGACACTTGGTTCGACGATGAATTCTACACGGTATCATTTATGAATCCATTTTCTCAAACTAATATAACTCAATAATGTTTTTAAAATGTTTTTCTTGATTTTCTTTGAAAAACATGTGTGATATTCCCCAGAGCTACTTCATGTGGGATTCTTTCACAGCAGGTGTGGCAGTCTCAATCATGAGAAACGCAGGTAAGAATAACAACGAAAAGGGCGAGAATGATTTCTCCGAGATGGAGTATATGAACATAACCGTTGTTACATCAAACAAACCTTATGGAACATCTGATGGCTCAAATCCGTTCTTTGATAAAAGAAGAACTCCAAAGTTCAACCTAACTGTTGGAGGAGTTCATAGTGGTCATGTTCAGATGGGTTTGCGCGATCCGTTCTGCATACCGAAAAGTGGAAAAGGAAAGTGTCAGGTATATGTTTTCTTAGTCTCTGATTCGGTTTTGCTTCAGAGTAAATAACATAATCTAATTTCTTTAATGGTCAACGTTATAAGGATGGTTACACACAAGAGATCTCTGGACTAGATTCAGTTCGTGTTCTTGTTGCGACACGAGCTAAACCGAACATAAACATCAAAAGTGAACTTGATAGAGAGTTCTACGTTGATTTCTTGGAAGTAAGTTTTCATTTTCTTTGACAAATCTAACGTTTTTCTCCATATAACAGATTTGATTACATATGAACAGGTTTTGAATAGACCTGAAGAAACAGGGAGGTATAACTTTTCATCTCAGTTTCCATACTACAAAGAAGAATTGTTCAAACCAGATCTTAGCAAAACACGCCTCGGGAAGCCTGTTGTTTTTGATATGGACATGAGCGCCGGAGATTTCCTCTCTCTCTTCTATCTCCTTAAAGTTCCGGTGGAGAAAATCAATTTGAAGGTATAATTTTACAGAGATAACTCTTTCTTGTTACACAAGTAACTAGGTCAAAAATAAACCACTCAGATTTAAAAGTTACTTTTTGCACAAGTAACTAAGTGAATCTTCTTTGTCCTTCAAAGTCTAACACGTAGCTACTCTCTCTGGATGAGCCAGGCCATTATCGTGAGCCCAACGGGTTGGGCTAATGCAGCGACAATCGATGTAGTCTATGATCTGCTTCATATGATGGGTCGTGACGACATTCCGGTTGGTCTCGGAGACATGTTCGCATTGAACCAATCTGATCCGATTTTTCCACCAGTTGGAGATTGCAAGTACGTCAAGGCAGTTCCACGAGGCTGTGGTGGATTTCTTGATTCCGACACGCTCTATGGCTTTGCTCGTGACCTCCCAAGAAGTCCTCGCAGGTTTGTATATATACAATCCAAATCAATTGACAATGAATGAAATGACAGACACCCCTTATAGATATTTTTATTTTGGATTGAAATTCCTAACAAATATTATACAACACTATGATTAGATCATTTTTGTTTGTGGAAGATAAATATCTACACATTTATTATGCAGATACACTGCGCAGAACTCAATGGCACATGGAGCTCCAAGGGACACTGATCGGCCTGAACTCCGACAACCTTTGGCAATTGAAGTGTGGCAAAATCTGACCAAATCTGGTAGTGGAGTGTCTAAGATCACTATATTAACCAATGGACCGTTGACCAGCTTAGCCAAGATCATCTCATCAGATAAAAAATCATCCTCACTAATCAAGGCAAGAACATTCTGTTACTTTTTTGGTGAAAATTCATCAAGATCCGATGTTTAATTAAGATGGTTTCTTATGTAAGTTGCAGGAAGTTTACGTCGTGGGTGGACATATAACCCGTGAGAAATCAGACAAAGGGAACACATTTACGGTTCCTTCGAATGCATATGCCGAATTCAATATGTTTCTTGATCCTCTAGCAGCTAAAACCGTTCTTGAATCCGGTCTAAACATCACACTCATTCCTCTAGCAACCCAACGCAAATCGAGTTCTTTCGAAACAATTCTTGATAGACTCTATTCTTCTACAAAAACACCAGAAGCTCGGTTTGTGAAACGGCTGCTTGCTAGACTGCGAGCTCTTCATCAGAATCACAGGAGATACACGCACATGGTAAACCCCTCTTTTCATTCTGTTTCATATTAGACAAAACAAAAGATTTTGGCCTCTATTGTTTTCTTTACATTATATTTCTATAAGTTTTAATGGTGTGTTTTTCTTCGAATCAAACTATAAATTGTAGCTTTTGAATATCTATCTATTCTTATCTAGATGATAAATGCAACGCGTTCTTATTGTTTACAAATTACAAAATTAGTTTATGGAAAACAAAATTAGTCTTTTAGTGAAATAAATATCAAAATATGTAATCTAAATTGTTGTTGCAGGATATGTTCTTATGGGAAATTCTTGGAGCAGTTTTCTTGGGCGGCGACCAAGCTTCATTGAAGCCGAAACTGCGAGCGGAGCACATAAAAGTGATTGCTAAAGGGGACGAATCAAAAGATGGTCAGATATTGATCGATGAACATCGTGGAAAACAAATAAAAATACTCGAAAGAGTAGATTTGAGAGGATGCTACAAGAGCTTTGCTTCTAGACTCGATGACAGGAGACAATCTGCAGTCATAGGAAGCTTTGAAGAACAAAGGAAGAAATGGAACACACCACCAAGTTGACAACAAACGCGATATATATAAGTGTTCAAAGAATTGATTAAATTTTTATGCTTATAGATTAATACTCTTTTCGACAAAAGGAAGAAGATTTATACGCTTTTTCAGAAATTGTCTAGAAACTTCATTGATTCATCATTAGTCAGAAGCTCCAGTTAGTACAAAAGCTTGTTTATGGGTTATAATCAAAACAAAAGAAGAGTGAATTTATAACCAATGAGTTCAAGAACAGGAGACGTTCATCAAAACACAACAATACTCCAAGGAACAACATAAAGATTAAAGAAACCTTGGCAATGCTTATCACTAGCCTAAGACCGTAAAACCGAAAAACCTAAAAGTAATAAAAGACCTTCTAAGTATGAAGTTCTCTACAACAACCTTGGTAATGCTTAAAGAAGATTAAAGAAACCTTGGTAATGCTTATCGCTAGCCCAAGAACGTAAAACCAAAAAACCTAAAAGTAATAAAAGACCTTCTAAGTATGAAGTTCTCTACAACAACACCTAGATTTTTATCTTACAACTATTTAGATTTCTATACTTTTATCAAAATATTTAACTAATAGAATTCTCTCGAACACAAGGCTTAATTTTGGGTCTTATCCAATTAAGAATAATTTTATCATTGACCCAAAACTTAACTTGAGCCAAAATCAAGTTTAACTTCAGTACTCCCCCTTAAACTTGATATTGTCAGCCAATATGATCTCAAGCGAAGTAACTGGAATCAGCTCGTTGGTAGTGGTGAAGATATTCTTAATGTTTTATTCACTGCGAACAGCCATCTATAGTTACCCTGCCACAAGGTTTGGATGGTGCATCACAAATTTCCTTGTACTGCCTAGAGAATTTTTATCTTGATTAGTGTTCCCCCTTTCACCTTGCGTCTCTTTTCTCGGACTTCCACCTTCACTTGGCATTTTAAGAATTGGTTCATCGATCTTAGAAAAACCAATGACACATGAAAAATGCCAAGTGAAGGTGTGCAACCATTACTTGATATGGTTTTCAACAATTTGACCGAAATCTACTTAAAAGTTTTAGAACTTGCAGAAAATAAGGCTATGTATTGGGAGCAGGCGCAAAGAAATTTTATTAATTTGGAACCCCAAATTAGCCTCCCAGCTACGGTAGCATCAGACGTTACATGTTATCGATATTTAAGTTTATTTCTGCGCTACTCAAATACAAAGGTGGATAGATTACCACATATGTAGTACTCGACTATAAT